TCCAGCCCTTGATGCCCAGCACTCCTCTTGCCTGGTTCACAGGGGAATCCAAGATCTTCACACACCTTCTCCATGGCATCAGCTTTGTGTCCTAGCAAAGGGCACATCTGTTCTGCCTGTTTTCCATGTTGGATGCCCAAATCTGGCAGTTTATAGCCAGGTACCTGAGTAACCAGCCTGATTCTCAGACAGATTTGTGCATGCTCTGAAAACCAAATAAATTTTGTGGACCTCTAACTTGAGGCTTTGATTGAACCAAATATCAATCCTCCAGTATTGACAGCATTCCAGATGTGTCTGTAAGAAACACAGGAAAGCACAAAGGATTATTGCAGCTTCTGAGGAAACCTCTTGTATTTCAAGTAAGATTGGCAGTTTTTACGTGGCCACTCTAATTCTTAAGCCATTAGAAATCTAAAAATTGATTGAACGTTTATCTTACACTTACCAGACTTATCACAGAAAAAAAGTAATGTTCTGGCTGGGATATCAATGTCTTTAATAGCTGCAAAATTAAAAACTCTTAGATTGAGGTTTCAGGATGATGAGAGGGGAATGGAATGCAGGAGGAGGAAACCTGTGTGCTGCTCTAATAGGGAATGCCAGGGAAGATAAAGCTCTGGGAAAAGCCCCAGGAGAAGAGCTGAGGATAACGTGCTGTTGGACCACTGGGGTCAGTAAAGGTGGAGATGCAGAGGTAGCAAACATTATTTCCTTCCTGCTTGGTGAAGATATTGAAGATAAAAAGCTTTTCCCTGTCTGCAGAATTTTTTAAAAATACATGTTTAGTTTCAGTGTTTGTTTCATCCCAGAGTGTTTGGTTTTGTTTTAGCTGGATTGGTACCTCAAAAGTCCAAGGAATTCACCAATTTTAAAGCCAAATTGGAAAAACTGGATCTGGATTATCAGTGAAGCTCCATGGCTTGCAAATCAGCCTTCTCCCATAAATACTGCAATGTTTCTGAAAAAGAAGAGACGAATCTTTAAATGAAATATGAGCTGTAGCATTGATGTGATGGTACTGCTGTAGATCAACAGCCATCAATCTGTGTTACTTAATTTGTTCCTGGCTCAGCTGTTCACTGTACTTGGGACTTTTTTGCTGTTTGTTTCATTTTATTTTCCTCTGAGATAAATGAAGACAAAGAGAAAGGGTCAATTGTTCTTGACAAATAGAAGTAATTTTTAAAAATATAGAACTGTTAAGGACATTTTGCATTTTCAAATGGCTTTTTTTTTTTTTCTGACTTTCACAGCACTTTCACAGATCACAATTAATTTATTTCACGGTGTGTCTATTGAACATCCTTTTATTTTATTGCTTGTTACTCTCATTTTCAGGTCAACTTTATGTGCACTCTTTAAATACTGTAAAGAAGTCTGTTGGAATAAATAGTTGAGGTTTTTAAACTAAATATTTAGAAACATTATTCCTCATCTGGGCATGGCTGTAACACTTGGGTTGCTTTATTTATCCTGGGTTTCCTGGGGATTCGAGGCCTTTGTTGCTCCAAATGTCTAAGGAAGCATATGCTGGGATTGTTTGCCATCTTGCACATGGGTTGGGTGGGTGGCTGGTGTGAGCTCAATTCGGGCTCATTTGGCTTCTCAGAGATGAGCTTTTTGATGAGTGTCAGCCACTTTCTCTCCCGATGGAATGTCTGTGGAGGCATCTCTGCAAAGGCATGGGATGGGGAATATAAATACACTGTTCAACCAGGAGCCAGTGAGACTCCCCCCACAGACTCCAGCACTTTAACATTGCACACTGAGGGCTGAGACTCCCCCCACAGACTCCAGCACTTTAACATTGCACACTGAGGGCTGAGACTCCCCCCACAGACTCCAGCACTTTAACATTGCACACTGAGGGCTGAGACTCCCCCCACAGATTCCAGCACTTTAACATTGCACACTGAGGGCTCTGGAGCAGTGCAGAGGACACCGAGCCTGGCTCCCTCCTGCCCATCCCTGCAGCAGCTCTCAGGTGAAGGGAGCAGCACAAAATGCCTCTTCCTGACTTTCCTTCTTTTCCGTGTTTTAATGGAGAGGGTTCAGACAAAGCTGCCCCAGGAGGATGTCCCAGCCTGTGTTGAAATCCATCAGGGCCCAGGGTTTTGCCAAGCTGCTCTTGGCAGGAGGTGCTGGTGGAACATCAGCCCCTGTCCTGGCTGGCAGGCTTGGAAGGACAGCTCAGGCTTACCAGGAACACAAACATTCCAGAGGGCTTGAGTATGGATTGATAACTTCAAGGGCCAAATGTTCAAAGGGCTGGCTTCCAGTTTTACACTGCTAGTCGAGTATACAAGTACAAAATTATGGGCAGAAAATCACAGAAAATATTTTTCCAAGCTGACCTTTCTGAAAGGGAGCCAGCAATTATGTGGACTTGGGCACTGGTTCAGCAGTGTTTTTAGGTGTTGTTAATACAATATTTTCATTATATTTCTGCTGGACTATTGATTAAATGTTCAATTATTTAAGAAAAAGAAGGTTAGCATTGTAGTGAATAAGAGCTTTTTGGTGGGTGCTTTGCACAAGTTCATGGAGTTTGTGTAAGAACTGACAAATTCCAGTCTGCAACTTTTTTATGCTGATGATAATCTCATGGAGTAGATGGGGAATGCCAAACATGTTTGCACGTTGTTGCTTCAGTGTATTAACACTTTTCAGTTTGTAACAGGCTTATTTTCAAAGCACCTGGCAGGTTGGCCAGTCCTCTTTCCCTGGGGAAGATACTGAGACTTTGAGAACTTGCATGTCCTTAATTCCACCTGAATTGAAGTTCCAGAGCCTGGTGCTGTGTGTGGGCTCAGATGGAGAACACTGGGTGCAGAATTTGGGGGGAATTTGAGTCACCTGAGCCCAGCCCACTCTGCTAAGCCAGTTTCAGGCTGAAATCTTTGCCAGTGTGATTTAAACAGAGGCCCAGACACATCCACCAGCCTTTGTCTTGATAAACATATTTCATTAGCCATAACTGAAGTAATTGCCCATATTCCTTGCCTCTGACACTTCTCTGTGGTATTTTGACCCAGTTTTCCTCTGAGAGCACCGAAGGAACAGTCTTGAGCTTCCTAAAATAACATTTGATAGATTAAGCAGCACTTACTTCATTATTTATTCTCACTTAGCTGTGGCCAAGCTCCTGATGACTCCAGAAGTCAGCTCAGAAAAGTGTTAGCACTGGAGCAGATCTGCAGACTTCATAAGTTATCCCTGGAACTGTAACAATGCTCTCTCTAACGAGCACAACTCACACTGATGTATTTTAGAGCTTAGAAATTTAAAGCAACTTAAGAGTTTTGGACGTTCACATCCCACTGAAATCAGACCCCCAGTCCAGTTTTGGAAAACTGAGCAACTGTGGTTCAGAGTATAAAGGAGAGTCATGAAAGCACTGCAGCAATTGTGACCCTGGTGTGTTTATTCAGGCTTTCAAATAGAGCCTCTGAAATGAGACCTTGAAACGGAATTGGTTCCTTTGTTGGAGCTGAACAGCACCCACTTCACAGGATGATGTAGCAGAGGTGGTGGAGACTGAGCACCCAGGACTCAGCATGCAGGATTTCCCTGTAAACTGTGGAAATCTGAGACTTTTGCATTTATTCTTTCATTTCCCAAATCATGTTAATTAATTACATGTTAATTCTTGTCTCCTGTCTCCTGCATTAATCGTGCAAGGTGCCAGTGGAGGGAACACAGCAGCCCAGGGCACAGTCTGCTGTTTCTGCTACTTCTTCCATCACTTGAATTTCTCTGTGCTCAGATGATAAGAATCACATTGTCAGTGCTTTTGTATTCAGTACCTGATCCTTCCTGGAAGTGTTTATCTGTTTAAAACAGCTTTAAATTTTCATTAAAAAACAAACAAAACCACAACCTGTCACTGGCAATATTTCTGTTGGTCATGACAACAACTTTTAGAGGTGACTGGTGAGGTTGAATGGATTTGTTCTTGACTGCCCAGATCAAAGCAAGCTGTTCTGAGCAAGTATCCTGAGCTCTGCAAATTATCCAGTTCTTTCATGGTATCTCAAGTTATTAATCATAAATGGAGGCATCCAAAAAACCCTGATCAGTTTTGAAACTCGTGGCCTCATTTAGCTTTCATAACAGCTTGTTTCGAACAAAATCTGATGTGGAGCCAAATGAAGTGTGTGTTTAAATGATCCCTTGCCTAAACTATCATGAAAATTTCAGATGGGATGAGAAGAAGGAATGCCACCAAGGGCAGCTTGTTGGAAGCTTGCTACTACTTAGAGACTAAAATAGTGTAATCAGCAAACACTCCGTCACTTTAATGCTTCTCCAGTGAAATCCAACTTTTTGTCTCCTGGCTCAACCACTCTCTTGCATTTTCCTCAATAGCTCCCACACAAATACTAAGATCCATTTTAATTTTGGCACACCTCGTTTTCCTGTTTGGTAGAAACGAAAGTTAAGAACAGAATTATTTATCTTGATGCATGTAATACATTTTTGAAGAATCAACATGGCTTTGTAAAGCCTTCATGACTGGTGAAAGCTCTTCAAAGTAAACATGTGCATGAAGAAGGTGCAGTTAGATTTCCAGAAGGATTTTGCAAGGTCTTGAATCAAACTTTCTGAAAGAAACTGGACCTTCTGGTTAGGATATTAAAGAAGGAAAAGTCTATATGGAAACAAAATTAGGTAGGAAATGACAGGAAAGAAATTTCTGGAGGCTGGGAGGGTGTCAGAGGGATGTGCTACATCCCCCATTTCTCCCACTCTTTCTGAGTTCCCTGCTCTTGCCTGAAAGCAGGAAAATGGGATTGGTCTGAAATAGCACAATTATGTTCTGTTATCTAATTATTTCAAATGTTTTGTGTCATTTCTGCCTTGATTTCTTTCCATGCCCCCAAACACTTTTCCTCTGACCCAGTTTTCTGTTTTCCCTGATTGCTCACAGGGCCAAGCAACTTCCCAAGAGCTTTCTCCCACTCTCCTGTTGATGTGCCCTGTGTCTCCATGTGCTGGGGATCTGTAAAAACAGGATCCACTGGGAATTTTTACCACTTTAAGGTAAGACTTTTTCACATGGCTCTTTCCTAATGCGTCACTTGGAAATTTCTGGGGAAATTTCAACCGACTGCATAAACATTTAGACTTTAGGATCTTCAAAAGTATTAAAAGGATTTAAGAATGGTGTGTGCTAGTGAAAAACACCTCTGCTTACAGCCAGACACAAAATTAGGGGATTTTTTGCTTGGTTTAGAGCTCACTTTATCCCAAATTGAGGGAAAAACCTTCAATTTAGAACTCTGTCATGGACTGGAAATTCTGTTTGAATTTCATGTCAAAGTCATGTTATGAAATATTTTATGACAGAGATGTCAAAATGAAATGTTTCACCACTTCTGGCCCTGAACAGGAAAGTCTCCAATGGTCATTTTTAGTTAGATTTTCTAGCCTGTCAGCCAAGGAAGCAGAGCAGAAATTGAACCTGTAGTTTTGGGTTTCTTTTTTTTTTCCTTGGCCATTTAAAGCACACACTGGTCTTTTTTTCACAAGATTGTTATCAAAACCAAGTCCTCAACATCTAGAAAAAGCTTTATAGGATATTTATTTCACCAGCAGGGATACTTTGAGATCTTATTCACTTTGCAGGTAGGTCCTACCTCCAGGGCTACTGCTGCAGAACAGTATCAGAGCTGCTTTTTCCACACTCTGATCTTCATGAAGTTTAAAGGATCATCTGCATCTCCAGTCTCTTTGTAAACCCCAGCACAGTTTCCTCAAAGAAGGTTTTTTTTTGCAAATAAACTCCATTGACAAATGATTGGCCACCTACTAGTTTTTCTGCAGCTAAGATTTGAAGCTTTCCTTTCTTTTGTGATGGAACCAATGACTTGTATCAATATTGTAGTTGAAATACTAAAATTTTTCAAAAAGGAGGAAGATAGGAGAAAATGGCCTAAGGAGTAGTTTAATCAGTTATAATTAACAGAGTGAGACACTTGTGAAAAACCTCCTGGCTGTCCTTTGGATTGAAAGACTCTTGCCAAATTTTACCTAAATTGACTTCTTTCACTCCTGAAAAAAAAATAAAAAATCAGGCCTGGAGAGACAAAAAATAGTTAGGAGTCCATATGGGGATTGCACAGATGATCTTTGTGTCATTTATTTTGGTGTTCAGCCCCCCAGGCTGCCTGTCCTGGGAGAGTGGCAGACATTGGAAATGTTGGAATAATTTGGCTGTAGCTTTAATGAAGTCACAGGCATTGTCCCCCTCAAGGCTGGTGCTGCCTCCTGGGAGAATCTGTCCCAAACACTGAATTTGAGGCAGGAATTTCCTGTGTGCTGTGGTGAACAGTGAAAGCTGAAAGCCCAGTATTAGATGTCATTACTGGATTCTTTTTTGATATTGGTTTTTAATATGTGTGCTCCTATTTTTAGAGTTTTATTCTGACTCCTTTAATAGCAACCATTCCATTTTGGTGCGAGGGCTTTTCTATTAACAGTGATCAAAGTGAAATATTTCATTTGAGTTACAAAAGGAGACACTTGAGATGAATGAGGTTCTGCTGGATTTGGGGAGTTGGATGGTTCTGATCTTCGATCTGACTTATAAAGTTAGGAAATTAATGACACAAAGCAGCTCCCTCACAAACAGATAATAACAGCATTAGCACTGAAAGTCTAGAAAACAATTTGGAGCCTCTTTTTAATACACTGCAAAAAATATTCTGGGTGCTATTAGGGCTTATAAATAATTCTATGACATTTGGTTTAAAAACTAAACGGAGGCATCATTTTCTTAAGAACAAATTGAGGTCTCTGAGAACTACAGAATTCAAATATGGGGCTGCCTTAGACCTCATTCTCTTTAGAGTGAGTGAGGCAGCAGGGCTCTAGTCTCATTTATTTTTATTTTGTAGGGAGTACTTTAATATAAAAGATATATAAAATCCAATATAAAGAATGGGTAATTTTCAGCAAGAATGAGTGATCTTACGAGCCTCTTTCTTAGCATCTGGTGTATTCTAAGCAAATCTTTCAGGAAAGTTTGCTTTCTCCTGAACTCAAGGGCACTGGCTTCAGTTGGTACCAAAGAAGAAATTGGAGTGGGGGAGAAGTTTGATTTCTACCTTGAATTAATTGTTATTTACCTTTCAGTTTCTGATAACTGATGGAAAGCAAATGCAGGCAATGAATTACTGATTTAAAGTCAGGCTGCCTTTCTGCCTGTAATTAATGGAGCACAGAGCCAGGCTGTTGATGCTCTCCAGAAGTTAACAAAGGGAGCACAGAACTGTGTTTAGATTTAAGCCCTCTCTGAAGATTTACATTTCCTGGAGCAGGTTTGCCCTGCTCCTGCTTTGCCCACAGCTGCCCATCAGAAGGAGCTTTCCTTTAGCCCCATTTGCTCAGCCCTGCTCTGTGCCAAAGGTGCAGAGGGTGAAGAAGGAGGGTGAATGACAACCTGGAAATACAGTGCCAGGAAACACTTATCCCCTGAGCTTTGGCATTACTGCAGTGCTGCCCTGTGCCACAGCTAAAGGCATTTTTGGGAGGGATTTGTGTTAAAGGGCTGCCAGTTTGTGGAGCCTCATCCTTGGGTTGTTCACATCCCTTGTCCATGCTGTGCTCAGGGAATGTTCAGCTCTGCTCTCCCACACCTCTGACTGTTTGAACACTGGGACTTTTGGCAGCTCAGCCCCTCCAGACACTTTTCCTCCATGGAGAAGCAGTGCCCAGGACAAGAACAGGCAGTGGCTTTTCTGTAAATAGGTCCTTGCCTCGTCAGCCCTCTGGATTTCCACACTAAGCTTTTGCATTGTTGCTGTGGGACTTTGGAAAAGCCCACAGGTAAAAAATGGTCACTCCTTGACTTAAACCCATTTCATGAGGAACATTAGCATTAAATCATGTTAATTAACATTAATATGACTTACATGGCTTAAGACCTATCTTTGGGTTTAGCAGCGCTCTAGGAATAATTTAAAAGATGAGCTATTGCTCCCATTGGGATTTTGACTTGAATCCACTAAAGGCAATGGGTGTCCTTGAACTGGCTAAGAAGGCTTTGGGTCAGGAGGTAATTTCTGAGCACTTTTCCTGGCTCTTCATTTTGCTTTGTGATGGCTTCTTTATGCTGGGCTGTATATCAGGGCCCTGCAGAGCAAACCTCTTAACATCCCTTTGCTGTTCTGGACCCTGAGGCAATGAGCCATGTGTTTTTTTGATGATCATATGAAGATCCAATTTATTTTTAGGGCAATCTTGTTGCCAGGAATAATTTCTAGGACTTCTGATTTGAATGGTGAATTATGTGTCCGTGTAAATGCCTGAAATGGATATTTAAAAATACTTTTTCCTGACTTAATCTTTTACAGATTAACACGCCTAATGCTGTTACAAAAAAAGCAATTTTATTTTCTATCTGTTTTGAATTTTTGACTGGTGTAATTGAAGACTTGTAGGCCAACACCACAACTTTGGTTTCAAAGCCCCAAGCAGGTGTAAGTCTGTACATTTAATAGATGAACAGGAAGGTTATGAAGAGACCACACCCAGTGAATTTTGTACAACCTCTTTCCAGCTTCAATGCAAATATTTTTATTCCATGTCCAGTGTTCTGTGTAATGTGCCCCAATGCACTGACCTCTGTAATTCTCTGTGGTTCCCCATCCAAGGCTCGAGGAGTGCATTGATTTTCCTTCCATCATGCAATAAGCAAAAGTCTTACATCCAACCCATATTGACACCTGTAAACCCCATTTAAATAAATCAAAGGGGGCATTTGGGTATTCTTCCACTTGCCTGTAGGTTGATGGAAGAATAGATTGCTTTAATACCTCAGTGATTTATTTGTCAGTACAGACAGACTGTCATAAAAATAATCAGTATCAGAAATGTTCTTTGGAAGAATCATTGGGGCCATCAATATCTTGGGTGGCTTAATCATCAAATTCATTGCTTTTATTGGGTTTAAATGTATAAATTCCTTTTAGAATGGATTTGAACTTTTAAGGCATTTTACTGTTTAGTTGATTGCTTTTTCAAGTATTTCAGTTTCTGAATAGCTCCACAGTAGTTGTATTTGCACAAAAGTAAGGAGGAAAAGGCCTAGAAGGGTATTTTCTTCAAAATTGTCTTTAATGGCTCTACTTTCTTCTCTTTATCTAGGTACAACAATGAGGGCACATGTGCTGTTCCAGTGGATTCTGAGAGGGCTTATTTTGACTTTTCTGCTCAAAACTACTCTGTCCCTAAATCCAGATGATCCAAATGTTTGTAGCCACTGGGAAAGGTAATGTTTGACCTGCCAATTTTTATTTTTTTACCATCCATTTCAGATTTTTACATTTAGAAGGCAAGCTGAGAGCCATAATTTGCTAAATACCACCACATCTAAGAAAAAAAAGCACAGATTTGCTTTGCAGAAAGAGTATTTTTGAGTGCCTTGGAGGGTTTGGATCATCCCAAGGAATTGGTTCTAAGGCTGCAGATATTGACCACATCCCCCTGTGCCCTTTGGGAAGCTCCTCCAGAGTCTGAGTGACAGGAGTGCACTGAATTGTTTGTATTTATCATGGAGACACCCACAGAAATGCTGGCCTTGTTCTGCCCTGCTTTTTTCTCCTTGTTGTCCTGCAAGAAAGTTTGAAACCTTTCCTGCTGCAACATCCAGGCTGTTTTTGTCTGGCCTGAACTTTGGGGCTCTTCCTGCCAAATTCGTGTCGGCATCAAAGAGTGAACGAAAGCACTGAACATGAAAGGCCCTGGAATTTCTTGTTCTCTCTATTGTTCCAGTGTCCTGGTCCTAAAAGTGGATCTGAGCAGGCCAGTTCCTGTGAGCACAGAGAAACCCACAGCCTTTGATGGGGTTCACATTCACACAGGGGCTGTTTGCAGAGGCTAAAGGTCCTGTACTTCTCAGTTTAACTTGCTTAATTTCCAGTTCTGCTCTCTGGTACAATTCCACACAAAGCTGAATTGCTGTAGACTTTAGCAAAATACATCCCTTAACAAAGGTAAAAATAGAATCATATTTAATTACTATGTTTTGAGGCTTTAATTAGAGAATTAACTCTTTGCAGATAATGCAACTACAAAGCAAAGACTGTACAGGAAAAGGATTTTGCAGTCTGCGTGCTGGAAGTGCATTCAGAGCACAGGAATAAAATATTGATTTTGTCTGAAGAAAGTCAGCAACCTAGAGACCCAATCAAGGAGAAACAAAAATTAAATACCAAAATTGATTGGTTGTACTGACCAAGATGACTTTGTTAGTTAGATGTTAATAAATCAAAGGGAAAAGATTGTAAGGACCTATTGCTGGATAATAAACGGGATCGTAAAATAATAATTGAGATTTGCAAGTGTTACTGTCTTACATTAATAATGAGCAACGTAAATATTTTATATTTTGGCATTAGAAGAAGTAAAAACATTATTATTGTCAAAGCCAGCAAACAGTGACAGAGGCAAGGCAGCATCCAGGGGAACCTTGGCTTGCCTAGAAAGGACATGACAAGCAGGGCAGGAGCAGCAAAGTCTTCAATTTCAAGCCAGTCTGCCCCTCCAAGCAAATACCTTGGTATTACCTTGTGGGTGCAATCTCCCAGGTTTAACCACAGTTAATCATCAGTGCTGCTGATGAGAGGGAAATCAGCTGCAGAATTAAGGCAATCAATATAATGAGTGACCTAGAGGATCCAACTCCTGGGTCTTGACCTGCCTTGGGTGATTTGTGTCTTGTTCTCCGAAGGTAGATCTGATAAAGTGGGGCCTGTGTCCAGATCAGAACCTGAGAGAGGAGTCCCCTGAGCAGTGCACACTCCTGCTATGGGGCAGTGCTCTGCCATGGCTGACCCCAGTGTGAGAGGCCCAAACAACAATGACCATAGAACCTCCTGCATGGCTCAGTGGTGTTTTGGGAAGATTGCTCAGTTCTTGCTATTGTTGGAGCTCTGTGATTTCTCATCAAATTTTCCAGGTTTTGTCCATATCCATTCACCTTTTCACCTTTTAAATTTCCATGAGTTTTAGCAATACTTGCTTTTCTCCTAAAAGAGAATAGCTTACTGTTCACAGTGATATCTCTATGCCTACATCAGTCATGAAGCCAAGCATTTCCAAATTTTCAGGAAGAGGTGTAGCTGGAGGAAGCCCTTTTCTGCTCTTTGCTAATACCCAAAGTTTCTAAGATTCTTGATGTAAATATGTTTCATACTAGAGTTCCATGAGCAGCAGATACAGGGAATTGCAGCTTTTCATTTCAGCCTCACCTCCTTCCTTGTCCCCTGGCAGCTACGCCGTGACCGTGCAGGAATCTTATGCTCATCCCTTTGACCAGATCTATTACACACGATGCACAGACATCCTCAACTGGTTCAAGTGCACCAGGCACAGGTAAGAGCTAATCCTGACCTTCCTTCTGCCTTTTCATCTCCTCACACATCTCTTGTTGATCTAAATGTTTGTGGTGCTCCAATATAGATGTGTACACAAAGATGAGTTTTAGGGCAGGGTGTTTGGAATTCCAGGGCATTGAATAGAAATACAGAGATTTTTGCCTGAAGTTTGAGTGAGATAAGTGATAGTGAGTCCCTCATGGGGCCACCCAGGAGAATGTATCATTCCACTGGCCCTGCCATGGGATTGGAAGTGTTTATTCCCTGAGCAGACATGACCAACTCTCTTTTCCAAGTGATTGGTGCATGTCCAGGTTTGTAAAAGGAAGCCCATGCGCCTCCTAAATTGTGAATAATCAGGCATTTGAGGGTTAGTGATAATTAGATATGGATCTGTTAGAATTAGTGCACCCAAATCTGCACTGAAAATCAGGTAAAATTAAGATGGCTCCATTTCTAGGACTGAATGAAAACTTGTACCAAAGAGTTAATTTTTCCCAGGCTGCAGGATATTGCTGTTATATTCAGTCTGCTTCCTAAGTATCCTAATAAATATCCACTAATATTCACAATATTTCAAGGGGGTTTTAGAAGCTAATTTGTATCTCAGCTCTCATGCATTCAGTTGCAAGTTGGCTGTTCAGCACCATCCCAGTGGGGACTGTGGCACTTGGTTTTCAGCTCCTGTGTTACAGGAGCTTCCTGTTTGGAAGTGAACAGAGCTGCAGAGCTTTCTGGAATATTGTATAGATTGGAATGCAGCAGAGTAAATTCGATCAGTTTATCTAACATGAGGGACAATAGATTTTGTTCAATTGAGGTAATTTCCATAAACTAGCAAAGCTGTTTTGAACTGTTTGCTGTTAAATATGCAGTTAAATATTACCTTTCCAATGTGATATCCTTGCTAATGCTATGAATAAATGTAGGAATGCTTCAGAATGCTAAACACCTTTTAATTTCTGTGGACTGCAGTATTGTGGTGGGGAAAACAGACTTTAAATACTGAGCTGGGACTATGATGACACTTTGCAAGGTATGAGTGCCTTGGAAGGGGTAGCAAGAAGGAACAAATCACTTGGGGTTAACTTCTCAAGTTGTGTATTGGGAGCAGGTGCCACTGTGGCAAGATTTTGTGTAGCAGCTGACACAGTGATCTCTGCAGAAGACTGTGCTCCTTCCACTGTTGAGAGCTGACCTTGCTGATGTGCAAAAATAAATCATTTATTCTTGAAGAAACTTCTTGCCCTTGCAGCAGGACTGGGAAAATGTTTTAAGACAGCAGCTGCCCCAGGAAGAGCTCCAGTGCCTGTCACGAGCACTGTGCTTGTAACACAAAGTCATATTTCAAACTTCCAAACAAGTATTGATCCCTTCCTTATCGCGGCTTTTATTATCAAAAAAAAACCCCTTTCATGCATTTAAAAATAATTCTTGAATGCTACCCTTACTATAATTTCACACAAATATTATTGCAGCAGGAGGGCATTGATTTTCAATGGTTTTGTGTCTCGTGGTGCAGGATCAGCTACAAGACCGCGTACCGCAGGGGGCTGCGCACGATGTACCGGCGGCGCTCCCAGTGCTGCCCCGGCTACTACGAGAGTGGCGACTACTGCATACGTATGTACTCGAGCCACGTGGCACAGCCCAAAGGGGGTTTGGAGCAGCTGGAGATCAGTTAAAGATGTGTTGGTTTTCAGAGCTTTCAGCTGGCCCTGGTGGCAGGCAGAGTTGAGGGTGTAGAATATTTCGGGGCGTTTGGGGTTTGTGCGTCTTGAGCAAGTGGGGAAAATTTGGCTGAAGTCTTTAGGGAGGGAGTTAATGAAGTTCCTTAGTGCCTTCTTGAATCAGAGCTTACTTTGGGGAGTAATTAATGCAAGTATTCACCAATGTTTAGGAATTAGGGGAACTGAGAGCACTCAGGAATAAACTACCACATAATTTAAGCAGCAGTGTAAAGTTTCTGCCTCTTACCTTTGAAAGGTCTTACTTCAAGAGTTAAATGAGTTAAAATCTCATTTTTTTCCACAATGGTTCCCATCAACAATTTAACTTTTGAAAGCTTCTCAAATGTCAGAAGAACTTTCTCCCAACTGCACTGTATAAATAAATATGGAGCTCTGGAGTGTTTTAGGTGAATGTGAAGGGGGACAAAAATCAAAATGAATCTTTCAGCAATGCTTAAGAGCTTTGTTAATTAAAAATACCCTGTACATTAGTGTCACATGTTTTCAGTACTGCAGCTTTCTGAGTGTTCTGTGTGTGCTCAAAAGGAGACTGGAGGTGGGATCTCTATTCTAGCTCTTGTGTCATGAGATTATGACACAAGAAAAACACAAAGAGGTTTTGATCAGCATAAGATCCAAATTTTATTAACAGGTTTATAAATAAAATAAATATGAAAATTATACATTTATCCAGCTAACTTCAAATGTCTTGACACTGTGCTTTACAGTTATTTCTTTTTAGCTCTGTTGATGTTTTTATCCGAGTTCCTGTGTTGGACTCCTATTGTAATACATGAGCAGTTGAAAACCATGAATGGACCCTGATCTCATTTTCAATGACCTTTCCTCCAAACAGTTACATTAAAGGGGTTTGGACTGTGAAAAATCACCAGCCCTTTGAGATAAGGCATTAGAATTATTTTACAGAGAGTGTAATAATTTGATCTTTTGAAGTGCAAAATGCTGTTAGTCAAGTCCTGAAAAACATTTATTGCAAGCTATTGTCTTTGCTGGAATCCTTCCTATGGTAAGTATGTACCTACCTTCAAATATCTCAGGTGTCACTACCATGTCAGCTGTTGTTCCACATATTTTTATTACAGTCCTGAATTTCATGACTCAGAATCTTGTCTAGCACAGAGTATATTTATTATCACTTTTCTCCCTGCAATCTATTGATTTTTTTATGTTTAATTTTTTTTTAAATTGCCACACTGTCGCAACAATAAATCTCTCCAGACTTTCTGATTCTTTGAGGATATTAACATTTGTTTTGAAGTGGGTTTTTTTGAGTTAGTATTAATACTTAGAGTTCTGCTGCTGCCAGGCAAATTTTATCTTTCTGTGGTGGAGAAAGAACAGCATACACTGAAAATTTGCTAATGCAGAGCAGGCAGCAGGTATCTGGTCAGACCAAGAGCCCCGTGTTTGACACACAGCAGATAATAGTTACACTCTTGCTGTTTACATGTGCAGGAGTCAGGTTCTTGTATTTCATTATCAGCCTGGTGTGTGCTCAGGGACATCTGCTCTCTGTCCTTCCTGGAGATCAGAGCAGCAACAGCAGCCGAGAGGGAAATGATGTCAGGGAAGAAGTTCTCCATCATGATGGATTCCAGATGCTTGGACTTATTATTTTGCTACCACAAGTAGCCACACAGCAAAAAAAATCCCCAAAACCAAACAGAAAACCTCCTTGAAATTCTCTGAGCCCTCAAAGAACAGTTTGGAGGCAAAATATTTTGCTAATGGGATCCTTTTCGTGTCACTCCTTTTGTTTGTAACACATCAAGCCCTGATCCCATTTGTTTTGTTCTGTTTTGTTCTGTTTTTCCACAATATATTCCTGTGCCAACAAGCAAATTCTCTCATTCATCATTCTTTGCAGTCAGCAGTGAATTCCATTTTCATTCCTGGAGGCACTTCTCTGCTTTTGCCTTTTTCCATCCCATTTCTTGCTTCCCTTTCAACTGGTATTTTTTTTGCTGCTTCCTAACAAGGTTGTCCAGTACTCCTGTCCCACGTTCCTCTAGACACATTCATACATTCATACTCTTCTAAAGGCAGCTGCTCCAAGAGTGGTCAGGACACGAAATTCCACTTTCCTGAGCTGTCCCTGGCAGGAAGGGAGGGAAGCTCCAGCCCTGCAGAGAGGGCTCTCCCTGCTCAGCCAGCCCTTTAAAATCCATTCCATTAGCAATCATGGAAGCCACTACAACATGGGGAGGAGGGAAACATCCTGCAGTGAGTCTGATGATCAAAAGAAAGTTTGATTAAAAAACAGTGTGTAGATTAAAGGCTAATTGGTTCTTCTTTCATTAATAGCAGTCTTTGTTTCTTGCAAAAGTTAAATAGCTTTGTAATTAACAGTGACATGTTTAGACTAGAGAGGGCTGAGTTTAAATCTCTGTTAATGACTGTTTCTTGGATTTTAAAGCAGAAGTGAAGGCTTTCAGCTACTGTTTTGATCTTTTCCCTTCTCATTTACTAACTTTTAAAAGGATGTCAGATATATGGTTTTATCTTTGTCCTCCTGTTGGGGTTTACTAAATAGATTAAGTCTAATAAAATCTACCCTCAATTCTAACTAATCACGTTGATCCAGAGCTTCTTGCTCTGCCACTTCTCTGGTGTCTTCTTTGCCTTTTTGGCCTCTGTATGTGCTGCTGCCCCATAAAATGGGGAATTCAGGCACGAGGTCCAATAATTTAACTCCTTGCCTGGTAAATTACACAACTAGCCAGCCCATTAATACTTAGGCTAAACAGCTTTGGGGTATGAAATTGTCTTTGTGCCTCCAAAGGGCTTGAAATATTTTGAGGTTGCAGTGGTATTCAAAAAATCTCCCCTGAAAAATGCTGCACACGCACATCTGCATTTTTTTTCTCTTCACTGAGATCTTAGAAATGTTGTTACCATTGTGGGAGCTTTGCAAAACGATTCCCCTTCTCTGAATGTTCTTACACTTGACAGAGCTTTTCCCTGAGCTGTCCCTGAAAACAAACAGCACAGTCTGGGCAGTAAATCAGAGCAGCTATGATTTACTGTACTTTGTATGCTAAGGTAAGCTTTTGGCAGAGTAAATGCATAAACTGCAGAAAATCTTTTTTTAAACAACCACAGGGTTCAACTGTCCTTCAAGGTTTTTGTAAGGATGTTTTAAAATTATATTGCTTAGATTAGTATCTGTGGTAGATAAAGCAGCTCTGAATACTTTGCTGCTCGAAAAAAAAAGAGAAAAAGAATATTACATGGCTCTTTTGTGCTCTTTAGCCTGTGAGGAGATGGTAATTGAATAGTTCTCTTTAAGAATATGTCAGGTGGAAAGATGCCCTGTGTGCTAAATGGATGCATTTTTGTCTGAGAGACCAATGCTTTGTTCAGTCTGTCCATTTTAATCTTATTCTTGCACAACAGATTTGTACAGAGGAGTCACTTCTTGTGGGGAACAAAGGGTCACAGACCTGACATCAGAGGGAAGGCAGATGGGACTCTGAGCAGCAGATACTGACAGCTGACTTTTGGGCAGAAAAGCACCAACCATGAAACAAAAATTTGGGAATTCACCTTTTCTTCACAGATTGAGTTGAGCTTTTAAGTGTTTTCTTCACTCTCCTACCTTACACTCTTTTTCTAATGTCTAAATCTATGCAATGTGACAGGATGTAATAATGACAGGATTAGTGATTTAACAATCTGATTTGCTGCCATTTATCTGTCTTTCAAACCTGCCAAAATTCAGTAGAGTTATGGATGGACCATTTCATGGTGCTTTCCTTTCTTGGCCAAGATATTATTGATCTCAGATTGTTTCTCAACATTCAGCTTTCCACATTACAATTGTCACAAGCATCAGCAGGGCTCCCTGCCTTTGGCAAAATTTTTTCTAGAGAAATTATTGGTCTCATTGGTTGAATCTCAGTTTTTACCTGCAGTGGCATTTCCTTCAGGCCACACTTTGGGGACATTATTGTATTTACATGTATTTATTTACCCAGCTTTTCAACTCACCTCTGTTTGATGCCTTTAATGAATTTCAAAAACAAATGAGGAATGTTCATTTAATAGCTGACTTGGGGAAATTATGCAAATAGGAGGCCTGATTGTTTTCAGGAGTTTAAATAATGTTCCATAAATTCTGTAATTGCAATAGCCACGCCAACTTCCTAGGGTGATGTGTGCATTTATAGTGCAGCCATATGAACATTCCCACCTCAGGACTGCATTCCCATTTACAGGGCTCTGTGTCTAGTGCAGTTTTTGTATTCTTTGACAAGGCTGCCTTATTGGAGCCATATGGTTGGATTGTTAAACATCTGTAGCATAGGAGTAACAATTCCAGAGCTTCCTGCCATCTGGATGAATTACAATCCCTGCAATTCCACACATATGTTCCAGCAGCACACCGACACCACAGTCGAGTGTGCTCATGATGAGAAGAAAAAGAATGGCTGGTGTGATCAGTGCAAAAGTTGGACACTCCTAGAAAACATTGAATCAGCAGCTTAAATTTCCTGAATATTCATAATGTTTGTTCATATGTCAGATTTGTTGATTTTTTTTTTCACTTTTTAAGGCAGTATCTCATTAGCATTTTAGAAGAAATGTTGCCCCCCCTTCTCACCTTAATTTTAAATTCCTTGTGGTGAGCATTCCTGTAACTTGAAAATATATTGTTTGAAAGCTGCTGGACTTTTAAAATACATTTTTCTTATCTTTATAGACACACATTAAAGCCAGTGCTGATTCTTTCTGTGAGAGCCTTACTGTTACATTATTCAAGTACAGAGTTCTGTACATCAATAATGCAACCTAAATTAGGGGAAATGCTATAGCAGGACATAGATACTTCCTATCAGGGGACATTCTTTTTCTTTGTCTGATTTGGGATGT